ATGCCGATGATACCTCGATCTGATGATGTTGGTCATATGACGAACGAAAGCTTAGCACCTTTTACCGGAATCGAAAGAGATTGCCTCGGAAACAGCGTCAGCATGAATCTTCCGGTAAAGCCAATCGACAGCCAATCAAGATCAATCCGCCTTCGTCTTCTGGTGGAACCGACCTTCAAATCTCTTCACCCAACACTTCCACTCGAAATGGAAGTAAGCTCAACAATGCATAATTACCCATCTACCTGTAAACTTTACTACCCACTTATGTACCTCAGTACCTTCGCAAGTACCTACCTTACTGCCTGCCTACTCAACCTTCCGACTTAACTACCTACCTTTATACCTAACTACGTAATTACATACCTTCCTGCCTACCTATACGCCCTTCTACTTAACTGCCTACTTATATACTTATAGCTTGGTATATCTTTATATCTACTTGCCTATCTATATATCTAGATCTACACCTATATCTATCCTTGCAGCTCTTTATCTGTTTGACTTTTAATCTCCTCTTATTTTCTACTTGGCTTGCGTTTGCACTATCCTGCATATCTTTGTTGAATATGGATCCCATTAGAAGACGACGACGGCTTCATCTTGGCCAGCTGCCTAAACTTTTATCGGAATATTCTGTCTGACAATATTCGTTTCCCATGAATGCGTGCTGAGCTTTCTTCTCTCACTTAAAGGACATAATCGGAGCATTGTGCCATTCTTACAACCGTTTCTTGACTCGTTAACTTGAATGTAATTGTATGAATGATATCCTTTTTGATGATGCCCGTCCTATGACAGACGAAATCTTAGCGGGCTTTTAACGGAATCGAAGGAAATTGCCAACCGGAATGTTGCAGCAAAGCCAACCCATCTTATCCTAGAGGAATCAGTCTTTGAATCTCTTCATCACACAAGTTCACTCGAAGTGGAAGCGAGCTCAACAATTGCAAACCGCGAGTTTCCTCAAAATCAAACTTTTTTTGAATAGACAACAACAATAGTCAAACGGGCACGACCAGAAATCCAGTTTGTGTCCATATAAAGAAAAACTGGGCTTTGAGGAATTCCTTTACAAATTAATGTTGTTAGGGGGACCTTCATTTCGAATGAAAGTACATGAAGAAGAGATTCGTTTTTCGATCTCACCAGATCGTTGTACTGCAGCCGTTTGGCTTTTATATGATATTCATGTTGACGCAGTCCACGAGTATTCCTCCCTCGTTTCGGGTGAAAACGTGCT